TCCACATTCCCACATTCCCCGACTCTTCTAGTTTCGACCTCCTCATCTCCTTACACTTTTCCTCCTTTCTATAATCTATACCCTATTATAGATTCCAATAATCTATAATCTATAACAGACTATAGATTTCTATCATCCACAATAGACTAGCGGTCTATAATTGATAATAGACTATGGATTTTTATAATCTATAATAGACTATAGATTCCTATCCTATATAATAAAAGGATAATATGCAAATTGTACCCCTCAACCAGGAGTTTCACCAGGGTGTGGAGCTGGCAGGCCAACTGCCTCTAGCCCCTCCACACACACACACACACACACACACACACACACACACACACACACCCTCCTGCCAGACCCCACCCATGCACAAATTTGTGCACCAGGCCTCTAGTAATCAATAATAAACTACAGAGTTCTATAATCAATAAGACTATAGATTAAGACCACAGAGTTCTATAATAGACTACAGATTTCTAAAATAGACTGTAGAGCTCTATAATCTATAACAAACTACAGCTTTCTATAATCTCATAGACTATAGAGCCCTACAATTACAATCTATAATAGACTATAGAGTTCTATAACCTATAATAGATAGACTATAGGTCCCTATAATCTATGATAGACTACAGAGTTCTCTAATCCATAATAGACAATAGAGTTCTATAATCTATCCCACACACACTGCCCTCAGCTGTTCTCTCTCTAAACACAGACCTAGCTACATCCCTCCTCCATGAAATCCGCCATAGATTCCCAGAATCCACCTCGTCCTTCACCAAGGGCCTCTCCCCCCCCCCAACAGGGAAAGCGCTCCTTTGGAGAGGCATGCTTTGTCTTCCACACGGATGCACGCCTCTTTCTCTTCTCCTCTGTCCATCACTTATGCGGGTTGGACTGGATGCAAATGCCACGGTCTGGACTGTGTCCACCTCTGGGAAAACATGCCACGGCAAGCTGATTTTGCTGCCTCACCAACACCCTGGCGCGCGGCCTCCCTCCTGCTGTCCTCGGAGATGCCCAGGCTGGGGCTCCGGGCAAAACATCTAAACTCTGCAGAGGCCCCCTAGATACACCCCTCCTTCCGAAAACCACCCCGCGCTCCACCTTGGAACACACTCTGCAACCATCCCCCCCGCCACCGCGGCCGGAAGTAAAACACTTCCTCCCGCGCGGACCCGCAGCCCTGGGTGCAGGCCCTCGTCGGGCTCCATGTACCCATGCGGGAGCCCCGGGTTCACCTGTCTTGTCTCCCTCCCTCGCCCGGGTGTTGGGTTTTTAAAAAAGTAGACACTACTTTGCGACCCAAAGGATCTGCCACAAAAAAATGTGTCCGTGGTCGGCAAACTCATGAGTCCACTGAGCCCCAATACCAACAGCACAACGATTGACATTTCTTTGGAGAGCCGCATTTTTTTTTTTTTAACTTAAACTCCTCCGAACGCCAAACTTCTCCCACACAGACTCGCCCAGGCCGTGGCATTCTGTGGGAGAGCCACACTCCAGGGGCCAAAGAGCCGCAGTTTGCCGACCACAGCCAGCGTGGAAACCTCCGCTGGGAAAAGGGGGGGGAGACAGTAAGAAGATGGGGTGGGGGGGGAGAGGGGCGCAGCCTCTAAGGCAGCCCGTCCCCATGGACTCGCCCCGCCAAACTGAACTAGCGAAGAGAACCTCGTCCCAGGCCCAGACTTCCTCCCAATTTCCCCCGCGACCGGAAGTCAAAGGCCCACATGTCTCAGAGTCCCCGGATACACAGACTCCGCTTTCCCCCAGGGTCTCAGGACAGTCCCCGACGGCCCGTTACAGCTTTTAAATAAATTTAAGTGGGGAAAAATAAATAAATAGATCATAAATAAATACATAAATGAATAAATAAATAATAAAGTGGACTTGATTCTGCAAAAGAAGTCTCCATTACTCAAGGAGGCGGTGCTGGCGGCGGCGGCGACATCTCGCGATAGTTCTGCCTCTTGCGAGCTCCACAGCGTCTCGCGATAATTCGCGCCTCTCGCGATATTTTCTGCTTCCGGTGATCGAGGCAGCAGCCTCTGTTGTTTCTGAGAGGCATGGGTTTGTCGTTCCTATGGAGCTACCCGGCCAGGGCCCGGGCCAGGACCAGGGCCCTCAGTTCCTTTGGGCGAGTCTTTGCCCTGTGCATCCGGGGACTCTGACGTGCGTGGCCCTTGACCCGGGATGGGCTGCGGCTGCGCGGGCCACGGGCAGAGGATGAGGATGTGCTCCGAGGCTCGTGCTGCAGAAGGCGCCGGGATGCAATGTCTTGGGCCCGGCTGTGGCCTCTGCCCCCACCCCACCCCCACCCCCGCTGATTCTCGAAGCACAAGAGGATGGTCAATGGGACTGTTTCCTTCGTTTCCTTTCCTGACCATTCGCTCTCGGTGTAGACCAGAGAAATGCAGCCGATTCTGTAGACTTGTGTTCCGACAGATTCACCGAAGTCATTTATTCTAATAACTTTTTTTTTGGGGGGGGGGGGGCGTCTTCAGGGGGTTTCTGTACCGAAGGCCATGCCGCCTGAAAATAGTGACAGTTTGACTCCTTCCTTTCCGATCTTTTGGTGCCTTTGGTGTTTGTTTGTTTGTTTTTTGGTGTTTTTTTTCTGGTCTGACTGCCGAGGCTGGCACTGCACCGCACTGGCCTCGCAGGGAGGCCGAGCACCTGGACAGCGCCCCCCATCCCTCCAACCCCGCCATCCCATGCAGGGGACCCAGATGTGCACAGCGCTGCTCCCAGGCTCCTCCGCGCGGAACATCTCCAAAGTGCCCCGGGGCAGCTCCCCAGCCGCCTCTGTAGCGTCTCTGTCTCTGTCTGCAGTGGAGAAAGTGCTCCTGTCTAGAAGCGGCCTCGAGCCGGGCCCCTACCTGCGGGCGCCATGTGCAGGCGGCTGCAGAAGCAGGAGGGCGAGCCTGCGCGTGCGCATGCGCGCGTGCATGCGCGTGCGCATGCGCTCAGGGTGTCCGCCCGCGCGCTGCATTCTGGGAGTAGCCTCGAAGGCGGGAAGCCTGGGGCGCCCGCGCACTGCATTCTGGGAGGAGCCACGAAGGCGGGAAGGCGGGAAGCCGTGGACAGTACAGACGCCCCTCTGCTCCTCGCGCTCCCGCTCCCGCCGGCGCCAGGCGGTGCTGCAGGCCCGGACCCTCCTCGGTGACCTCGCAGGTGGGCCAAGCCGCAGCCCCCGGGGGATGAGGGGGAAGAAGGGGGGGGAAGGGCCGAGACCCTCCGCGGCCCCTTGTCCTGCCTCCTGCTCTGGCGTGTGATCCATAGCTGGTCCCTGGGGGCCGCCTGTCTCGCAGGAGCCATTGCTCCGTGTCTGCCTGCAAGGCCTCGGGCTTTGTTCACAGGCAGGCAAGGACCGTGCAGCGCAGCGCCCTCCTACGGCGGGCCACCTTGGCCCTCCGGCGCTCTCCCTGGTTGCAGGGCTATGAGATGTCACCTGCCTTCTCACCCAGCCCACTGGTGCGGCCTCCCTCTGCCGGCTCTGAGCACGCCGTCTTCACCTGGCCTTGTGGCTGTGGCAGCGCCTCTCTCGCACCCTGCTCTGCACTCCACTCCCCTCCCCTCCCCCTGCACCCCCTTACCCCTGAACGCCCTCACCCCTGCACCCTCTCACCCCTGGGAGGGTCTGTCTGTTCCCCGTGATATCAGAGACCTGGAAACAAATATCAGAGACCTTCCAGGTCTGATAGTTGATGACAGCCGCATGGAGGAGACAGAGGGAGCTGGGAGGTGCCGGCCCCCCACCCCACCCCAGCTGCGCGTCCACCGGCCACACGAGGGCAGCACCGGCTGTCCCGCCTGTGTGCCCGCCCCCCCCTCCCAAGAGCCCTGCCTCCCGAGCCGAAGGGATGGGAGCCCAGAGGGGCCGCGGGAGTTCCTCTGTCTTCTTGAGTGTGGTCCTGGGGACCCTGTTCCTGAAAGCAGAGCACCCCGTGTTCCCCGGAATATCAGCGACCTTCCAGCCGGAGGGCGCCGGGCGCCCTGCACCTCGAGGGCCTGGTCCCTGCCCTGCAGCAGCGGGAGGTCTCCCTGGAGACGAGCCGGGTGGGGCACACCTCCCCCTGGCACCCCGGCTGCAGTTCCCCCCATGGCACCAGACCTGTGGGTCCCCCTGGCAGCAGGAGGGGACGGCCGAGCCAGCGATGGCATCTGGGAACAGCGGCGCCTCCACGCTGAGCCCCACGCACCCTGGAGCCAAATCCAGTGCCCCCTCCAGACACACCCCCTCCAGCCCACCTACAAGGCAGGAAACACGCGGTGACATTGCCGTGTCCCGGGAAGGCCTGGCCGCTGGAAAACAGACCCTTCAGAGCAGCCTGGACGGAGCCAAGCACCAAGTGACCGAGCGATGGCGATGGCATAGACCTGGCCACGGAGGCGAGCACCGGGGAGTCCGCGGGCCCTGGACAGCCGCCTGGAGGGGCACCCAGGGGCGCCTGAGGCTGCAAACCTCGCTCACCATCCCAGCAGCAGGACGGTCAGCAGGACCCTCACTCAGCAAGAAGACAACACCTTGGAATTGGGGAGCAGGGGGGGGTGCCCTCAATACTTCCAGCTCGCCCCCTGCCTGGGCACAGGAACCAACCACCAAACCCAGAGCCAGGCCCTGCCCATAGGAACTGGATGGCACCACGGCAGAACAATCTAGAAACGGCCAAAGGAACCAATGCACGCGGGCACTTAATTCTGTATGAGATGGGCGCCGTGGGGGCGTGTTCTTGCGCGGATTCCCGGCCCGGAGGAGACTTTTCTCCCGGAGTTTCTGGGCACCAGGCACAGGTGGCCAGGGGGAAGCGGCGACACCGGTTCCTCCCGGGCAGGCGGGGAGACTGAGGCCCGCAGCGGCCCGCAGGCCGGCTTGGGGTCTTCGCACGCCCTTCTCCATGCCCCCCAGCCAGAGTGCGGCTGGCTCCCATGGCCCCGGAGCCCTGGGCGGGGAGCGGCGGCCACGGCGGGCGCGCAGGGAGGGACCTCACCACGTCCATGATCTGCAGGAGGCTCAGGGAGAAGTAGACGGTGAGCGGCAGCGAGTCGTTGGCCACCGGCCTCTCCAGGGGGTTGTAGTTCTTCACCAGCTCCTTGTACAGCTTCCTCTGGAACTCGCCTTGCAGGGACCCTGGGGAGGGGAGGAGAGGGGAGAGCCGGTCGGGGGTGCGTCTTTACGCACGTCCCCTCCCCGCCCGTGCCCGCCACCCCAGCCTCCCTCCCCGCGCAGCCCGCCCCCCTCCCCATTCCCCGTAGGGACCCCAAAGCTAGCCGGATTGCGCCCGGGAGCCCTTGGAGGAGGAGGAGCGCAGTGCGAGGTGCCCCGCGGCTTACCGTGCAGCAGCGCCGCGGCCAGCACCAGCCAGGCCGAGCGGAGCATGGTGGGTCCCCGGAGCCGGCGCGCCCGCCCGCCCAGCGTCTCCGCTGTCAGCCGTCCGCGCGCGCCGGGCCTGCGCCTGGGGCCGCCCTGCGCTCCGCCCGCCCGGCGCGCGCTCCTTTAAGGAGCCACGCGCGCCCCCGCCCCGCCCCGCCTCCCCCGGCCGCTCCGCGTGACCATCTCCACCCGGGAAGGGGGGGCTCCCACCCCAGCCGGCCGCCGGGGGAACTGCAGCCCGGGGTGCGCCCCACCCGGGCTCGCTCGTCTCCAGGGAGACCTCCCGCCGCCGCAGGGCAGGGGCCAGGCCTGCGAGGTGCATGCCCGGCGCCGCTGTTCTGTCTCCGCTCCTCTCCCTCCTCCGGCTCGGACAGGAGCTGACCTGGGGCAAAGCCTTGGGGGGGAGCAGGAGGGGATGGCGAGCCGGGTTATTCTGGGGTTCAGTCCTCTTCCACGCTGGCTGGCTGGCTGGGTGTCCGCGACCTGGAGCCGAGTTTTCCCCTTCTCGTGCCTCCCCCACCAGAGCCGGTGTCCTCCCAGCATCCCAGCCTGGTGCTCAGTGGGTCTGGGGTCTGGGAGGTGGGGGGGAGGCTGCAGGGGTGTGTGAGGGACCCCCCCCGGGCATCCTCTCTCTGTGCCACACTCTGTGCCATCCTCTCTCGGTGCCACCCTCTCTCTCTACCACCCTCTCTCTACCATCCTCTCGGCAGGAGATGCGGAAGGTGGGAAAGCGGACCCCCAGCCTCTTGCTCCGGCTGGAAGGCTGGGGTGCGAGCTGGGCTGTTGGTGAGCCTGGGCGAGCACAGTGCCAGGGACCCCAGAGGGGACCCCAGTTGAGGGATGAGGGTGGAGGGTCGGGACTTAGGCAAGTCCTCGGTGTTGAGGGGGGCGTGGTTGGGGGACAGGGTACAGGAGGGGCTTGAACTGGCAGAAACTCCGCCTCCTCTGCCCACAGCAAGCTGGTGGCAGGAAGCCGGGTGCCGCAGGGTCCCCCGCGCCCAGGAGGGGGCGCTTTCCCGGACCTTCAAACCCACAGCTAGGGGGAGAGGCAGCAGAGGCAATGCCCACCTTTCTGAACCGCATCTGGCGCCGGCTCCGGGGTGGCACCGAACGCCAGGGCCCCCCTCGAAGCAGGAGGGGAGGGCTGAGCCAGCCGTGGGATCTGGGAAGAGAGGCAGGGATGTGACAGCGCAGTTTGCCGACCACTGGTCTAGGGTTTTCTCACCATCATGTACCTTCTTGTCTTTTTCTTCATCTTTTCCTTTCTTTCTCTTTTTTTTTCTTTTCTTTTTTTTTTTTTTTTGACTCTAGTTATTTTGCACGTTGGCCTTCCCGGCTTGTCTTTGTTTTCCCAGAGCTTCTCCGTCTGCCGCTCCGCTCCTCACCCTGGAGGAGTTACTCGGCTGCGTGGTCCATCTCCTCCTCCATCCTGCTCTTCGTTACTGCCCTTCCCTTCCCAGAAGGTGCGCTCTCTGGATGCTCTTGGAAAACCTCCTGTTGTGTCTTATCTCCCTCTCCCTTCCTCTCTGAATCAATAACAATACGTTTTTTTTTTACAAAATCGAAATTAAATAAAAGCCTCCTGTCCTTGATCATGGCTGCAAGTCTCCTCCGTCACATTCATTGGCCTCCCTCCCCGGAGGCCCTCAGCTTCCTCACTCAGACACCATTAGTCCGGGCGCACTGTTGCCGCTTTGAGAGGTTTCTGACATCTCTTAATTACCCGTTAATTGATGTCATCTTATTTGCTCTGTCCTTCTGCACTGAAACAATGTTTCTCCTTTTTTATCCCGATCTCAAGGGAACGTTGAACAGAAAATTCCTTTCATTAAAAAAACAAACACCTCTAGCCCCGACGATGTAGCTCAATGGATAGAGCGTCGGCCTGCAGACTCAAGGGTCCCAGGTTCAATTCCGGTCAAGGGCATGTGCCTAGGTTGCGGGCTCAATCTTTATTTGGGGGCTGCAAGAGGCAGCTGATTGAGGTTTCTGTCTCTCCCTCTCTCTTCCTCTCTATAAAAATCAACAATATAAATATGTGTGTGTGTGTGTGTGTGTGTGTGTGTGTGTACAGTATATGAGAAACAAATGTATTTTTAAAAAAAAGACAGAATAAGGATTTTCTTTTTTTATATTTACCTAAGTTTCCTTATAATTTGTTGTTCCCCTATGACCCACAGGAAGGCAACTCGGTCGTATTTTTATTTTTGATACCATTTTAGACTCGGAGAAGAGTTGCAAAACTTGTAGGAAATTACAGGATACCCCACTCACCCAGCTTCCTTTTATGTTACAAACTTACACAACCATAGAGCATTGATCAAAACTTTAAAAAAAAAAAAAATAGCCTTACTGGTGTGGTTCAATGGTTGAGCATCGACCCATAAACCAGGAGGTCAGGGTTCGATTCCCAGTCAGGACACAGGCCGGGCTGTGGTCTCCATCCCCAGCGTAGGGGGCGTGCAGGAGGCAGCCAATGGATGATTTTCTCTCATCATTGATGTTTCTCTCCCCCCCCCCCTTCCCTTCCTCTCTGAAATCAATAAGAAAATATATTCTAAGGAAAGAGTTCTGTGGATGTTGACAAACGAGTAGAGTCAGCCACCACAGTTTCATATCAACGTTTTTCTATCAGGCCATCCCATCTTCCCCTGTGCTCGCCTCTTCCACGCCTTCCCCTCCTCCAGCGCAAGGCGGGACCCCATGAACTGCTTTCCTCCTCGAAGGACAGATCCTCCAAGATTATATAAATAGAATTGCATAACGGGTCACCTTCCGGGTCCTTCTCCTCTCCCTCAGAAAGAAATGCACCGAAGAGCCCTCCATCACTCTGCGTGCTTGAGATGGTTTGTTTCCTCCATGCGCCAAAAAAATCCTTTATGTGACTGACTGCATCCTAAAGGAGCTACCCATTCATCACTTCAAGGACGTTCTCATCCAGGCTTTTGGATGATGGACAAGCGTTTTCATGTCTCTTAAAGAAATAACCTAGACACCAGGACTCTGGATCACAGAGTAGGTGTACGATTAATTTTATATAAAAAAAAATTGCCCATTTCTTTTCTAAATCAAGACCAGGGTCAGACGAGGCAGAAGTCACAGGGCCCAGAAGCCAACATCTTTGCTCCCTGTCGCCCCCCCCCCCAACTCCTGTCCTGTTCATTCTACCTCAGGGACGCCTGTCCCTCCTCCCTCTGCACAGACCGTCTGAGGCTGCCCACACACACCCGCCTCCAGGGACAGCACCCCTGGCCGCCTGCCTCGGCCGGATTTATTTATTTATTTATTTTAAATAGATTTCTATTGATTTCAGAGAGGAAGGGAGAAGGAGAGAAACATCAGCGATGAGAGAATCATGGACCGGCTGCCTCCTGCACACCCCACACTGGGGATCTAGCCCCGTAACTGGGGCAGGTGCCCTGACTGGGAATGGAACCGTGACCTCCTGGTCGATAGGCCATGCTGGGGGGTTGAGGGGTAGTTCTCGCCATTTCTGGAGAGTGATGAGTCCAGTGGCTGTCAGCGAAGAAGATCAGAGGAGAATCAGAGATGGAGGCTAAGGTCGTTCTCGCTCACCAAGAAAGCAGAAAACCAGCGTCCCTCCCACCTCTCTCTCTCTCTCTCTCTCTCTCTCTCTCTCTCTCTCTCTCTCTCTCTTTCTCTCTCTCTCTCTCTCCCTCCTTCCTTGGCCATCCTACCTCTGCTGGACTCGGAGAGATGAGCAATTGGTACCGTTAGCCACTAGGTGGTGCCACAAGACAGCCTTTTAAAATAAGGGACTCCACCGATGAGATAGATTTCTTCTCTTCCTGAGGGTCCAGAGGTTTCGTCCAAATAACGGTTTAAAAATCACAGCCCCAGTTCCTGGTCAGGGTGGCCACATCGTCCAGGAGCGCTGGAGGGTTTTCTTTGCAAAAGTCTCTGCTTTTCTTGCTAGAAAAAAATCAATGCCGGGTCGATTCCAGCGCGGGCAGTGGCTTGCCCTTCAGGACACAGTGACCTTGCCCTCGACCACCGCCCCTTTGTCAGGGCAAATTGGTGCTTGGTAAACGTGTCCATACACTGTCAGTTATTTTTTAATTTTTTTTTTTTTTAGTTTTCTTAGTTTTCAGTATTTGTCCTGCCCATGCTTTGTTAGCTTTGCATTAAGCAATTCATCGTTTTGTTTTGTTTTTTTCAGTGAATGTATCTGGTATTTTCTTTTATTTTTTTAAAATATATATATTTTATTGATTTTTTTTTTTACACAGAGAGGAAGGGAGAGGGATAGAGAGTTAGAAACATCAATGAAAGAGAAACATCCATCAGCTGCCTCCTGCATGCCCCCCACTGGGGATGTGCCCGCAACCAAGGTACATGCTCTTGACCGGGATCGAACCTGGGACCCTTGAGTCTGCAGCCGATGCTCTATCCACTGAGCCAAAACCGGTTAGGGCACTGGTATTTTATTTTCAATATCAGTTTCCACATTTCACTGATAGTGTATAGATAGAAGCAAAATTGATTGTTGCCCTTATATTCTGCAAACTTACAAAACTCACTTACCAGTGTATGCATTTTGGGACAAGCACACACACACACACACACATATGTATGCATGTATTTTGTAGGTTCCTTAGAATGTTGTACTTGGACAGCTACGCTAGGCCTGTTAGATGCATAGACCCTTCATCACTGAGCCATGTCCCTCTCTGCCTCTGGGCATTTTCTTTCCCCGAAAGTCTTCTGTGCGATAATGGTTCTTTTTGATTAATGTTGTGTCTCGTGTGTTTTCTCATCCCCTCCTTTCAGTCTAACCAGATCGTTATATTGGAAGTGAGTTTTTCATAGCTTAGGTGTATAGTGGGTCATTATAAAAAAACAATTCAGTCTCTCTTTGTCAATTTACATCATTTAGACCATGTATATTTAATGTAATTACTGACATTTTAGGGCTTTAAGTCTTCCCATTTATTTTTGTCTTCTCCCTGTTCCCCCTGATTGTGGTTCTTTCTTTCTTTCTTTCT